ACATAGAAAACATGTGTGGTTTTGGAACATTGCAAATTGTCAAGGTGTGTCAAATATCAATAGCAGTACTCTTTATGTTGTTAGTCATTATAATAATCTCAGTGGGAGCTATTTAAACCTGTATCACCCTGTAGTCACAGTACAGGTTCACACAGTTTGTTTAAGATGAATTATGTTTGAGGTAATGAAGGTATGCTTCACTGCAGTTTGGCTTTAGGCCAAGTTTAGAGCTCATGAAAAAGGTAAAGACACATATGCTTGTGCATCAGGGCTGAGCCTGAGGAAGGGTGTTTGGCAGGATTTAGGAAAAAACTGTGAATAGTTGGAGTGCACTGAGCATATAGGTGGACAGTGGACAAGTGGAATATGCTGACTGCTGAATGCTGAATGACCAAACACAAATTTCATGCAGCCACATTTTAATTATATGAGGATTGAGTGTTTCATACTCAAAGATTGTGGGTGGAGTGTCATTTTAATGTCATTCTCAAAGGTATGATTGTGTTTGCTTAATAAAAGCATGACAAAAGTAGCACTGGCCAATTTTAAGAGCTGTAATTAAATGTTAATCATCAAAAAAGGAGCTGGAAGACCTGGTTCAGTGGCTCCAGTCTGTCCACCTCAGGAAAAACAGAGGCCAGATCAGTAACAGTACCATACTTTAGAATGAGCTGTTTATTTTTACATGTTGAGCAGCTTCTCTCACACAGAGTCTGCCATGTTGTTCTACAGTAGCCCAGAGCGGACAAGCCAAACACGGGGTTTATAGGGCCATCCATAGTTCTCCTACACACTTGGGTTGCAGTTCTGCAACCTCCCCACAAGAATCCACTAAAACCTACACACTAGACCTTTAAAGGTCCCATATTATTCAGATATTCAGGTTCATACTTACATATATTACATCTTACATATTTTGGGTTTCTACTATGTTTACAAGCTTCAGTGTTCAAAAAAACACACCATTTTTCTTACTGTCTGCCTGAACATACCTGTGATAAGCCTTTGTCTTTATAAGCCGTTTCACTGGAATTACATCTCGAGGCAACAGCTTGGGTCAGTGTTTACTTCCTGTCAGCTGATGTCATTCACATACACTGCAAAACATTCCAAGAAAAAATACACAATGACCCATTTAGAGTGTTTATGTTTCAATCAGTCTATGTGGTATACTTGTGACTTCACAAATTCACAGAAATCCTGAAGGCTCATTTGAAGGTGCAGTTTCTGAAAATGAACTGTGTGCATTTCTCTGTGGACTGAGTGTTTTGACACTTTCCCAGTGTTTGTATAGCACGTGTACCTGCTTTATTTTTAAAAGGATAGGGAAATCTAACTTATGATAATATGGGACCTTTAATAACGGGTTGCTTTTCAGACTGACCACCTTTACCATGGACTTCTACGTCAAGTAAGCTGGTAAGTCACTGTCTTTTCATTCTTATGTGATTACTTGCTCTATCCTTGAAAAGCACCTGATCTTTTACAATCACCAACACCTACCTTCCTGGTTCAGCATATTAGTATGCAAATATTTGCTATTATTGGCATTGAAGAAATTGACACTTTCAACTTTGTGGTGGTGCCAAAGGAAAAGTAGGGGGATCATCAACTTCATTAAGTTTCATCCTCTAGGCATCATGGATATCCGTCAATATTTATGGCAAACCATCCAATAGTTGTTGAAATACGGAGACAAAAACAGAAGGAGTGCTTCACCGGATCACAAAACTAGCAAATGTTTGCATACTAACACACTAAACTAAGATGGTGAGCAAACAGTGTACCTGTTCAACAGCACCATGTTAGCATTCTAGTGTTAGCATTAGCTTGAACAACTGCTGTGTTCAGGCCTCACAGAGCAGCTGACATTGTTGTTGACTCTTTCGTTACTCTAGAAATAAAATTACACATTTGTGGTCCATTTTTAAGGGTTTATATCTTCAGTAGGAAGCAGCAGGTGTAAGGGAACCATAGAGAGGTCAAGAAGTTGGAAAGACAGACAGACCAACACCTTGTTGGTTTTTGTCTCCTCGTGGGATAGGTTTACAATAGTGAAAAAAAAGATCGACATCAGCGTCATGCTAGAATAGCAGACAGGCTGGTTCCCCCCTGTTGGGCTGAACCTCCTGTAGGGTTGTTATATTTATTGTGCAACACTAGCCGTCCTGGAATATTACCAACTGACAGTTGTTTAACCTACACAGGGTATTGTACCAGCTCTTTTATCACAGCTTGCCATGCTCTACTGTGGTATAATTATACTCTTCAAAAATGTGAGCCAACCAGTAGGACTAACTAGACCAGATCAAAAAAGTTCCTATTATTATATTCAGTATAAACAGAGTCTACATCAGTGCAGAATTTTCTCACGGTTTATAATGACACATAGGCCTCGGGTTTAACAGCAGTAAACCTACGATATCAGACCATAATACCCTGGTGGTTTGTTTTTACTCAACAAAATCCTCCATTCAGGTTTGACAAGTGCATCACCACCTGTTACAACAAACTGACAAACAAATATTTTCCCCTTTAGACAGGGTGTGCAGACTGTGCAAATAAACAAAACTGTATCGTGCATGCTACACTCAGTGGTCTTTGTAGTAAACACTTGTAGTATTATACTGATGCCATAAGAAACAGTACAATAGCTAAATAAATAACAGGGCAACACAAACCACTGTAAGCAGCACAGGTGATGTACTGTAAATGAAAACAATAGGTTTGGACATGCTTCCTGTGATCATGGGTGGATTACAAAACAGGCCTACCAGGGCCAGGGGCTGAAGTTTCAAGGGGCCCCTGGCCTTCACTTGCAAAATGTCACTCAAATGAACATGTACCAACCATGAAGAGACTCAAAATGACCACAAAAAAGACATAAATCACCTGAAGGTGACACAAAATTACCTCAGTAAAATATAAAATTACCTAAAGAGACCCAAACAACAACAAAAAGACACAAAACAACCACAAGGAGATGCAAAATGACCACAAAGAGACGTAAAAGAACGACAATGAGATGCAAAATGACCACAAAGAGACATAAAACAACCACAATGAGATGCAAAATGACTATGAAGCAGCGCAAAATAACAAAAAAAGACATAAAATTACCTCAAGGAGACACAAAATTACCTCATTAAAATATAAAAACAACCTAGAGAGACCCAAACAACAACAGAAAGACACAAAACAACCACAACAAGATGCAAAATGACCACAAAGAGACATAAAACAACCACTAGGAGATGCAAAATGACTACAAAGCAGCACAAAATAACAAAAAAAGACATAAAATTACCTAAAGGAGACACAAAATTACCACAAAAAGATGCATAAAGAGATGCAAAACCACCACAAAGTCTATGTCGCTTTACATAGGAGAGGTGGACGGCCCTTTGTACATTTGTGCCTATAGGGGCCCATTGTCTCATAATCCACCCATGCTTGTGACAAATAAAACCATGTCCTAACTGCATTATTGTGCTTCAAAACTGGTACATCAAGTCCACACATCTAGTCAACAATAAGATTGTCCTCATCAATTTGTGTTGATGATAAATATCCACAGTCCAGGCGTCTTCATATTAACACAACGCAGACAACACTGGAGTCCAGTGCTTACATAAAGAGAGCAGAAACATCTGAAACAAGTGCCACAGTAGTGACATGTTACCTGTCAGTGCTGAGGAGAGAAGGTATGTTGCGTCACTACTGTATCTGTGGCTTGCAGCTAGTGAAAACAAGCTCATGGCTGCTAGGACTCTGAGCTATGAAGCGCATGTGGCTTATCTACAGCTGTATTTCAGCAAGTGGTCTATTTCTGTTTCCCATATGAGGGTGTGTTGTCTTTTGAAGCAACAATAGAAATGCTTAGTGAAGAGTACAATTCATTCCTGTGTGTTTAAGATAAATAAGTATGTACACTGTTGTGGAGACAATGAAGGGCAGGAGCACATAAATGCACATGGTAATTTTCTTTAAGTTGATCCTGTTGCATCTAGTTTGAGCCAAGCCTGTGAAAGTCACGGTGAGTGTTTGGTGTGATATCTCACAGATGAAGATGTCCAGGATACTAACCGTGTAGAGTTAAGGTTTGTTAGCTCTCTCATCGGACTCCTTTTAATAGATTTCTTTTTTCTCATAACGTGTATTTGAATGTTTTTCTAGCCCCTGCTATAAACAACACACTCCATTTTCTGACCACACACGACCTTTGTCTTATATCTGTGTATTTCTATTAAACTTCTATGAATTAAATCTTTTGTGCCACTGTCATTGCTCACTGTGACTAAACCTTTATCATTTGCTGGACCTGCTGCAGCGTGCAATGAAATGCACAGTCGTGACAGCTTTTTATTATTTCCTGTGTGGCCATGTGAACGGTTGATTAGTTAGGATGTACGACAGTCGTCTACAGCCACCCATCATAAAGGTTTATTGTCTGCGACATCCCAAATTCTGCTCACCAATTCCACTATTTCACCAGCCATGGATACAATAGGTTTCAATTGTACTCATGGCCCCACTTGACCTTTGGCAGCATGACTCATTTATTTCTTTTTTGTGTGATGGGGATACACGGTATTGCAAAAATCACAAACTTAAGAAACATGACCAGGAAAAAAAAACATAATTTGGCAATTTTTTTCTTACAGCAATTTAAATATGAAATTAAAAAATAAATCAAATTTGCAGTTATTGCTAAAGGTGTGTGTGCGTGTGTGTGCGTGTGTGTGTGTGTGTGTGTGTGTGTGTGTGTGTGTGTGTGTGAGAGAGGAGTCAGTACTTGGCCTGATGCCCTGCAGTTGTTTTTCCTCCTTTCCTTCAGTTTCTCAGGTGAGTCCCGCCTCCCTCCCCGCATCCGATTGGCCCACAGGACTCATCCCCTACTGTCATTGGCTGTGCCGCGCAGTGACTGTCACCTCCAGGTAGCAGGTCCATACTTGAGCTCAGGTAAAGCTACCTGTGCGGCAGAACAGAGGGGAGGGCTGAGGAATTACCACGTAGTTTTCAGTTTTAGTAAGGCGCATTTCACAGTAATAACTCTGTATGTACTTATAGAAATAAATTTTCCTTCTGAATTTTGGTTTTAAGAATTCATTTAAATGGCAGCGAGGGTAGGACAGGCCATGAATCCGCCGCATACGACAGAAGAAAGGGCGGTTTTCACGCAGCTGAAGCCGGTGAGGATGCCGGGGGCGGACAGCGCAGAGGAGGCGGCCGTGTTTGAGGACGTCAAACCCGGGGTGAGAGTCTCCGCCGACCCGCTGAGGACGGCCGGACCCCCCGGTTCACCGGGAGCCCGGCCTCTCCGGGTATTTTAACCGCTTTTCTTCATCTCTTACCTTCACTTTCATGTTTTAACAGACAGCGTGACTGCAGGTGCTGCTTCAGTCATAATAAAAGGGCGTTTTGGATATACACAAAGCTGCTAATAAGCAGTGAATAATCGCAGAGCTGCATGTTGTGCAGGAGGCAGCTCACCTGTGCAGGTTAAAGTCCTTTACAGACACCTGACATGTTAGAAAACGCAGGTAAAGTTCACCTGGAAGCTGTTTGGAGCAAAGTGACAGCTCTGCAACACAAATTATTCAAATCTAACTTTATTTGTGCTTCTGAAATGCAAGGTAGATTGGTTTTAGTGGATTTAGTTTGTTGCTATTTTGTTTTTAAGATTTTTATACAGATACAGACACTTCCATTGATTTGTATTTGTGCTAAATATATTGTGTAGTTACTTTCTCTTAAATAATTTCCATCACTGTTAACATATTTACAGGAAAGCAACAAAATGTGTATTGTAGTTTGTAATTGTTGGGGTTTATTTGCCAACAAACAAGCAATATATATGTATACCTGCTGTGCCGTGCTGATATGAATGTGTTGTTAAATTAATACTTACACTTATTTTTATTATGCGAGGCTACACACACTATGCTTAATCAGAGAGGAGCTGAGGACACACTGTTTGTTTTACTCGAATGATAATGACTGACCCTGCCTGCAGAAGCAATTCAGTCATGGGATTTGATCACATGATGGAGAGAAGCAGGTTGAATTTTAGACAAGTCTACAATATGGCCCCCTCTCCATCCATCCATCAGTCCATCAGTCCATCAACGCATTCCTCCGTAGATCTGTCTGTCCAAGATAATCAGCAAATAGTTGTCACTCTGATGCCAGATATGTGCTTGAACATCTCAGGAAGTGTCACGTTTTGGCGGAGGATTGTGTCCCTAATCAATCGCAGAAAATTAGTGATACAAAAGGACAAACAGCCAACCACCACCTTCTTTGTCAAACACGAACAACAGCGGAGACATGACAGCTGCATTATAGTTATATGTCTGCGAATTGTACATCAGCCCTGCACGGTCACAACAGAGTGCAAACAGAAACCAGAAGCCTTTGTACAGTGATGAGTTTGGCCCTCTGCCAGGTGTTTGGTAAACAGGCGGCAGACCCTGAGACCTGAGGCTAAAAACTGCTCTGCTCCTCTGTGGATCCCACATGGCCAGCAGCGCTGAGCCCCCAGTGGATTGGATGGGTTAAAGATGTTTGTTCGGGCTTTCATTTTGGTTTTTCTATTCCGATGCATGCTTTTTCGTGTGTTCCTCACAAGGCGTCATGCGTTGAGTAGGCCGGGATCACGCTGTTGATTTTTATGCAAACATGGAAGGAAAGCGGTCACGTGCTGGAGCTGTTTTTGAACTGACTTTATTGGCACTGTCAGGTGGACAGGTGCGATTGTAGAAGCTAACCAATGTTATGTCTTGTTTTTCTTTGGATAAATTCACATTATGACATATAATTACGTTGAATAGGATGAATATTTATGCTATTTTAGTTTCAGTTCAAGACAAAACATTTTGTAAGTGCTCAATTATCAAATCAGCAGTTGGTCTCTTAGTACTTCTGTATACAGGTTTTCATCCCGTGTCTTCTGAGTGATGTAAAAAACACTGTGTACCTTCTCTGCCTCGCTTGCAGCAGATAAATGTAGGTCAGAATGACATCGTAAACAGAAGTATTTTATAGCCTAAATGAACTGGTTTGTATGCTTGTTGGATTGCATGAATCAATCGCACTGTAATGCAGCCAAAAAACACTTAAGCATGAGCACAACTGCACGTTTAAGTTGTTAATCATTGATTTGAGCATCATAAGACGAAATGTCTTGTTTGCAGGAGGATCCTCTGATAGTCAGACCTGTTGCTTCAAAAGACACCTTACAAGTTTATATTTTTAACATGAAAACATGTCTTACATCCTCTCTACAACAACATGGGTTATGTCACTTTTGTTGTTTGCTCTGAAGTTTTGCTCAAAACAAAATGGCTAACATTCAACTGCTTTTTCTCACGTTTCTCATCGCTGTAACACGCTGTGCTTGATCTTATGCAAAATATGACTTTGTCAGGAACAAAGAAGTCAGGTTAAGTAAAATAGTTGCCCCCGCAGGCAAATGAAAGCAGCCGCAGTGAGAGGGTTTACCTTATGTGCTCTTGAGTCGCTGCAAACGTGAGTGAAGACGGTTTATTAAAGGCATTCCTCACAGATCACTGAGGTGGCTCTCTTTCATTTTCTCTTACCCCCCATTCATCCCCTCTCTTCTCCTGTCTCAGACACAGGGTGTCCGACTCAAACAAAGCACAACAGAGAGTTCTGGGTTTAAAAAAAAAAGTGTCTGTTTCTTGTCTTTACGCTCTCTTTTTTAACCCTCTGAGACATGTCTTTGTGTCATTGTGTTGCTGTTTTAAAAAGCGCTTAACTAAGCCGGTGTCGTGACAGCAGTATGTTGCCCGACCTGTCTGAGCAGGGCCCACATCTCCATAGGCCGCCTCGAGGCAATGGGGAGGATGATAAAGGGCCGACCTCATGAGAAAGTCACAGCAGCAGTGAAAGGCTCATGAGGCTCCCGTCACATGCAGGTCTTTGGTTCGCTCAAGTGTTGTTGTCTTCACGGTTCTTATCGGGGAAGGAAAATATTTTGCTACAGAGAATTAGTCAAAAACCTGTCTGTTAATGAACTCACTGATCTTTAGGTCTTGAGCTCTTCCATAAGAGCAGAGTGGTTTTCTTTTAAACCTGCATCTATTGATCTTTTGGCCTCTTGGGTGCAGGGCAACAAGCTGTAAAGTCATCTTATAAAGTCCGTTTTTCAAAGGTCTATGAACGTAGCACAGGCAGAACACTTCAGAGCTTTGTTTTCTTCCTCAGCAGTTTGTTGAGTTTGAGTTGCGTGGTGGCGAGTTTTGTGCTTGGATAGATCAGGGCTGATCAAATCAAATTTCATTGGAGGAGCAGCTCCTGCACAGTGAAAGCAAAATTTTTAGAGCCAGCCCTGGACCATGAGGTGCACCGTTTTCATGGGAACACAGCTGTTTTCCTCTGAAGTAGGTTGGCAAAATGATGGACAACGCTAAAAAGAAAGTTCTATTTCTATATGTATTAATGGCCGGTTAAGTTTCACTTCCACTATGCGGAGTGTGGCGCTCTGAATAACCGAATGGTATATATATTAATGAAAGGCCCAGCTCCAAAACTACAAAATCAACATGTGCCTGCTAATGCTGACATTGTGGCGCACCACCATAGATGTATGAATGTGTGGGGAACCATGAGGCTACATGTGGTCACTGGAAAGGAGGTTGCTGAGAGCTGAGAAAGTGAACAGAACATTAAAGCAGCACGCTGCAAAACCAAAACAATCGGCTGAAAGACGCTACAATATCCTTAAAACTGAGGGAAACTTCAGAGTCAGTTGATAATACTTTGTGTGTTCATCACTATGAGCAACCCCTTTTACATTACACATAGTCCTTTGACCCATTATTGATATAAAGATATCAGTGCTGCTTTGAAACAAGATTTGCAGATGCTGCTCTTGCAAAACTTCTCGAGAAACTTCCTTTTGTCGCTTGAGGTATTTGGACTTTTTTTTTTCCTTTTACAGTAGCCCAATTAGGACATTTCTGGTCACAGGCCATTGATCTGGAAAACTATTCTGCAACAAGTGTTTTCACTGGATTTGTGTTTGTTATGTAGCGCAGCAAGCCAACCGTACAGCCCCTTTTTATTGAACGCAGGGGCATTAAACCATGCTGATACTAAATCTGCCTGCTGAGTTTGGAATGTAAAATTTAAAGAGGTCGACTGGGATCCAGTCTTTGTTATGCTTAGTCTGTGATGTTTCTGCAAATCACCTGACTGGATTTGATTGAATTGGATTTAATATCTTCATCAGTGGCCATACAGTGGAGGGACATGTTGTTGTTGTTTAGCATTGTACGGAACAGGGCTGTAGCTTTTATTTCCATTATCAAGCAATCTGTTAATCAGTTTTGCAATTATTTGTGTGAGTTATTTAGTCTATTGAATATCAGAAAACAGTGAAAAGGTCCAAAATTCAAAGATATCCAATGTCCTGTGTTACAGAACAGTGACAAACTACAAGTCTGTCTCTTGGAGAAGTTAAACCACAGAAAATTTGACCTTTTTTCCCCCTTTTTGCAGCCAAAGTCTGAAGTCTGACGGCTCATCAAAACATTGTGGAAGCTGAATTTGTTTTGTGTCCATCTCTTGGAGGTTTATCCCTCTACTTTCCTTTCAAACAGTACATGTTTCATTTTGGAATTAATCTGCTCTTGTAACTCGGCAGTAATGGCAGAATAAGTAACTAATATGAAACCTATTTCAAGATTCTTTTGTCGTTAAATCACCAATGGGTTTCCTGTTAGACTGAGCACAGACAGAGGCAGTTACAGAGTAACTTCATGGCGTGCAGTTCAATTGTGTGCTACCAGTCACGCCTAATGATTCCTGAAGATCAATACTCAGATATGGTTTAAACTTGGTTTTCAAGATGTTCTTTCCATGCTGGGATTGTGCTGGCACCTCACCTTGTTTGATTTCATGCTTCTGATGTCATTCTGAAACTCTTCCTCATGTTTTCCCATCATGTCAGCCCTCCATTAGTGATTAGTGACTTGTGGTACATTTGCTTGTTTTTTCTTGTCCTCGTTGGTGACGGGCCTTTTTCATGCTGCTGAAGGCTGAAATGGTTTTGGTTTGACTAAAGATTTGACTTCCAGGACAACACACGCAGCTGCTTTGCATCTGAGCATCTGCTGACAACGAGTCTCAGCTCGCAGAGTCCCAACCTAATGGGTGATGTGAGCAAACATGATTAATTTGTTTTTTACGTTCTTGAGTCAAACATTTGGGAAGACTTCAGCTTATTTTG